TATTCTGATTCAGTCATATAGTTTAAAGCAAAACATCTTGTGTTTTAATGAGATTTAAAAAAATTCTTGAGCTGGACTTTTCAATAATATTTTGTTTTGTAAAACAAATGGAAAAAAATATACCTGTGGGAGTAAAAGAGTAAAGGAAAATAATTTTAAAAACAGCTATTAGCTCAGAGTAAACCACAACATCTGACTACAATTTTATCCATCACTAAAATATTAATTACTTTGATATGGGGGTTGTGGATGACAGGTTGTTCACAGTACATTACATCATAAAGCATACCCCAAGAGCACACAGTGCAGTCCAGGGAGTTACGGAGTAAGGTGTATAAATCACTAGACTAAATCAGGGCAGCCTAAAGATTAGTCCAAGTTAGAATGAGTGTCAGTGGACACAAGATGGTTAATGCACAGGAGCCTAATAACACTGCAGTAGTGTGCTGGGCAAAAAACTGTGCTAATACACTACTGCACAGTAGTATTAGGCTACTGCACAGTAAGCATCACTAACAAACTGTGCGCCAGCACTACTGCACATTAACCGTAGTTACGGTGCATTTAGTTAGTACTTCATTAAGCAAGTATTAAACTAAATGCACAATAACTAATTCACATTAATTACATGTAGAATGCACCCAGTCTTCCTTAGGGGTCTGCCACACCTGCTTTAGGACAATGGAAGATTCCTTTAAACTTAGGTGATCTTTCCAGAACCAGTTATGCCTCCTAAGTGCCTTGATCATTCTGTTTGTATTGAGCAAAAAAACTATATGGTACCCAAGAATCTGACCCTATGACTTAGCAGAAAAGAAATATCTACTATTTGACAGGACTTCACTTAAAAGCCAGCTGGACTGAATTTATCTTTTCAAGCTCTTTTACATTAAAAAAATCTTTATTTCACTTAACCAGATTTGTTTAGAGAATTAAATATGGGATGTATGGGGAAACAAAATACATTCTTGATTCAATACCAACTACAACAGTTTTTGTAAGAGAGCCTTTTTTATTCTTTGCCTGTCATATACAACAAAGCTTATATCAGTTTACAGCATATCAAGTGTCTCAGTTTGGAGTCACATCTCTTGGACACTACAATGACTTGTTACCATGGGAGCATCAAACTAATAAGAAAAAAAACCCAACCTCAGTGGCCTACTGCTAAACCACAAAGTCCAAAGAGAGTATTGCAAGTGGCTTCAGAGGGCACAGGTGGGCCCTGCAAGTATATATAAAGGCAGATAGGAATTTAATATTTACAGTGCTCTATTTTGCTACTGATGAGCCATTAACAGTTATCCAAAACAACAGAATACAGAACACCTCCCAGGGCAGAAACATCCTGTTTCTTTCAAGTTTTAAAATGCATTTAATGACACAGCTTGTTATGATGGGCTTTTCTCTTGGTCATGTTTTACTCTCTATGGCTGAGAAATAAAAAAAAGTAAGACCATTCTGATAATGTACTGTAGTGCTTCTTAATTTTTTCATCAACATTGATTCATCAAAATACACGTGGATTTCATTTTTTTCTGTTGCTAGTTTCAGAGCTCAATAAATGAACAGATGTACAGTGAGGAATATCTGAAAGCTAACTCCTTCCTTTTTCCCTCACCTACCCCTTAGACCAGACATCAAAATGAAGATATGAGCTAAGTGTAAGTAACAGATTTTTAAATCTTATGTAATAATTCTTAGTAAGATATAATCCTTATAAGCAAACATAGGGCTGATCTTGTTGCCATTGAAGTTGATAGCAAAACTTCCACTGACTTCAATGAAATCTAGATCTTTGACTTCAAAATCTCTTCCTTCACTTGAAAGTTTGATTCTAGGAGTATTAAGGGACGTGAAATCAAATTAATATAAATATTCAGTGATACTTCTAAATAAAGCATTTTCTCCGTTACCATCCTTTTAAAAATTCCTGCCATAGAATAAACAACATCATTAATATTATTATTTGCATTCAATATTTAATGGCATTCAATATTTAATGCTGTAACAGTTTTTAACTTATTCCTGATGCCAGAAGAATCAACAGTCAAAACTCAAGAGTCCTGGGCTTTCATCTAACATGAATAAACTCAGTAAAATTTTACAATTGAGTTTAATGGAAGCAGTACTAGAAGTTAAAAAGAGAAAGTAACAAACACAAAGCACACCACTAATTTTGAGAATACCACAGTAAATGAACTGAGCTGCATTAGCCAAACATAAAGATTTAGTCAGAAGTACTTTGATAAAAATATTCTGAAAAGTTGCATGATTTGAAGTCCTTTATGAAAAGGATGAGGACTATGAGAAGGCCCAAACCCAAGCTGTGGACCAGAATCAATCCCAGACTGAGGGCGAAGGCCCAATGTTCCCAGGGAAACTTTACTCCTGTTAGCAGAGTATGAGGTGTGCCAGCTTTCAGGAACAGACTATTTGAATGACAAGGAACACCTGGCCATTCTGCCCTTGTCCTCCCAGTGCTCTAGCCCAAGTCACCCAGAGGGAATTTCTGCTATTGCTCATGTGTAGCAGTATGTCTTCACTTCAGCAGTGTCACTAGGGTGAATCCCCATTTAATAAGCCACAAGCACTCAGACCTTGCAAGTATGGGTTCCAGTTGCCACATAATTGCACCATTCTGTAAGCACCCTCATAAAACAGCTCGTGTGAGGTTTGCAAGTGGTTCAGTCTACATTTCCCAGGTGCTGCAGCTAAGGAATAAAATGGAGCACTGACTCATACAAGGCCATGAAACAAATTGGTGGTGAAGTCAGGAATAAAATTCAGGCTTCCTCTTCTGAGCTACTTTCATGATCCCCTGTATAATCTATTTTCTTATAATATATATAGGAGCTAAGAAATCTTGAGATAGTTTGGTCTGGAAAATAGCCTGGTGAATGTGTCAGTTTCGTGTAATTCTTTTGCATCTGAGGGGTTGTAGCCATGTTGGTTTAAGGACATCGGCAGACAAGGTTCTTTGGGTAAATCTGATATATTTTATTAGACCAACTTAAATAGTTAGAAAAATTATTCTTTGCAAGCTTTTGGGTATAAATACCCTTTGTCAGGCTGAGGAAGCATCTGCAGTTGGTGTGTGCTCTTCCTGGATGGAATGAATAGTAAAGAAGCCAGAGGCTGGCAAGAAAGGCAGTCAGTGAAACAGCATTCTCTCTAAGCTGTGCAGTTTGTGCAGCCATGCGGGTGCATCTGGCAGCCTGGCACGAGTGCACCTGTACAGCTGCACATGCCACGCAGCTTAGAGGGAACGCTACAGTGAATATGGACATTGAGAAATCAATGGATGTGAGACAGGTTGGGGAGGGAGGAAGGGGAAATATAGTTGGTAAATAGTGGAGAGGTACCTGGGGAGTCAGATGTGAGGCAGGCAGAGCTGACCCAAGCAGGGTGTGGGGCCTGGGACAAATCAGCTCTTGCAGGTCTCCGCCCCAATCCCACACACCCTGGATGGTGGTGGTGGCGGGGGGAGGGAGTAATGAGCGGCCGGATGCAAGCCAGGGCCATTCTGCCTGGCTCCACAGGGCCCCCCAAAGCATGGGTCCCAGGGTGGTCACCCCAATTCACACCCCCCCCCAGACAGCCCTGTAGGCAGGTTATAATTTATCATAAATTCAATGTCTGTATTTAGCCCATAATTTTTTGTATCCAGTAGGTTGATGAAGTGAAGTCTATTGGCTCATCTGTGAAAGGTGTTTTGTAAATTCTCTTTGAGGATGAGAACTGAGAGATTGAAGAGAGAGTGGTTTTCTTGTGAGAAATGTGCTCCCACAGGGAACTGGATATTCTTGTCTTTGATAGATTTCCAGTGTGTGTTCATTCTGGTGTGCCGTTGTTGCTTGGTCTCTCCTACGTATTTTCGATCAGGGGATTGGGTTCATTGGATGAGATGTATTACATTTCTGTAGGTGCAGCTGTAAGATCCAGGAATGGTGATGGCTCTGTTGTGGGGTGTAGTAATTGTGGGGGTGGTGGAGATGTGATGGAAGGTTTTGCATTTCTTCTCATGGCATGGTCTGGATCCATTCTATGTGTTTTGGGCTATAGAAACTTTGCTTCTGGTGTTGAGGTTAGCGAGGTTCAGTGCTTGTTTGAAGGCTAGCATGGGTGTGTCTGGGAAGATCTCTTTAAGAATTGGGTCTTCTTCTAGTATGGGTTGCAATTGTTTGAGGATTTTCCATATAGGTTTCAGGGAAAGTTGGTATGTCATAGCCAGTGGTGTGAGATTCATGGAGGTTTTCCTTCTGTACTGCAGCAATTCTTCACATGATATCTGGGTGGCTCTTTCAAAAGTGTGATCTATCTCTCTGGAGGAGTGTCCTTGTTGAGTGAAAGGCTCTTGAGATTTGTGAGGTGGCAATCCTGGGTGTTCTCAGTGCATCTGAGGGCATTTTTACATGTGCTCCAGGAGGGTGGGGGGCGGGCTTTAGTTAGTGAGCCATGCTAATTAAAAGCACCTGATCATCACATATATCAGTGTCCCCGAGCTGAAAAAAATGGAGGTTGGGCATTTTGAACTAAAGCTTGTCAAACAAGCTTTAGTTCAAAGTGTCCCACCTCCATTTTTCAGTGTAGGGACACTGATACTCGTGGCGCTAGAGTCTGCTGGAGTGTGTTAATGTCTGTGCTCCAGCAGACTTGATTAATCAAGTCTGCTCTGACACGCTAGATTTCCAGCACATCAGAACAGGCTCCCTGCATGTGTATAGAAGTCCTGAGGTATTAGATTTGCTTTAGCTGAGACTTTTAAGCCATTTGCAGGCATAAAATAAAATCAGATGACATAATGTTTGATAATTAGATTCATAATTATGTTATGTAAGTCAGCTATGACTAATAGATTACAGATTTAGGGGTGCAGCTATGGTATCAAACTACATATTTTGATTCTTATTTCCACATTATTCAAAATACCATATCATTTATGATTCTAATGTCTGAACACTTCACAAAGGCCCTTTCAGAATTCCTTTTTTCATTCAGCACAGCAGGAATGGATGAATTTGTAAAAAAATTTCTTTGAAACAAAAGACATATTTAAATCAGTAAAGCCTTTTTTCTTTAATTTCTATGAATCTCTTTTTAAAAAATGTTTTTAGTTACAATAACAAACAATTGCTAGGCAGTTTCCACAATTGTTTCCTGTTCAAATTATAGGAAAATGCCATGATGTCTCAGACACCAGTGAATGATCACTGTTGATACATGATCACTTTTTGAATGGGGACCATTATATATTCATGATTATCCTGGTCATGGTCCTTTCTTTCATTTTGCTAGGTTGATCTCCTGGTATAAAAGACCCTAGATTGTGCAAATTCCTGCATAGCACTGTATTCTTAAAGGAGAACTATGTAAATTGACATAGATACTGCAAAGGAGTCGCACTCTGACCATGCAATACTGTGTTGGCTCTAGAGTTATGTCAGTTTATACTAGCTAAAGATATGGCTCTGTAAATGGGATTTAAGGGATACTAAAACAAAATCTGGCCATAGTAAAAAATCTTTTACAAAAACAGACAGCCAAGCAAAAGGATTTTGTCTGTGATAATTCAGGGTATTTTGGATAATCATAATGTGTACAGTCAGCTCTGGTTGCATAAGACAAATTATAGCATGCCTTTAATATTCTGGACACAATTTTCTATGTGAATAATGCAGAAGCTTGAGAAGCAGCAGCATGTAAATCATTCATGAGTAGAGTCTTTTTTTTTTTTTTTACTTGAAGCTATTTACTGTAAATAGGATCGGATAATCTCTCATGTAATGTGATCATTGCCTAATTGCAACACAAAACAGTGATCTTCCTGCATGTTGGGCATAATATTGTTGATGTTGTATTTTTTTTTTTTGTTTTTTTAATATCCCCAAAGCAAATTGCTTGATTTAGTGAAAAATATCTAAATTAAGTAATTATTTTGTTCAATATTAATGATGTGGAAGAAAATATAAAATCACCGGTTGTGAAATTTGCAGATGACACAAAAATTGCTGGGGTGGTAAATAAGAACAAGGACAATACAGCTATACAAATATGGATCATTTTGTAAGGAAGTCTTATTCAACAATGTCATTCAAAAGAATGCCCCAAAACTACAATATATTATTCAGGGAGTGTGTTATGGTCCTTCCTAGGAGTAGTGAAATTTTATTCATCCATTTTATCCATTAATAATGGTCAAAGGTCCACCTGATGCTTACAGCCCTTTTGGATTAATTTCCCAGTTTCATCGCGAGTAGTATGTAAGGGGTAATGTGGCCAGGTTTTCTTCCTCATTGGGAAAGGAATCCAGGGAATTCAAATGCAGAGAGAATACCATTAATTTAAATGAGAACTGTATTTGCAAGTACCCCTTCTAGGCAAGTTTGACAATCTCAGACCTGGTATGTATTTAATTATGCCTTAAAAGGGAGAGTTTTTTGAGGGAGAATTTTTAGAGTCAATAGTTCAGTTAAGTAGCTGGGTCTGGTTGTTTCTGTCTGTTTGACTACAAGAATAAAATCAAGTGCTATGAAATATGCATTCTTACTGGAATGCTGTTAGACTTGTTATTGCATTCTATTCACTATAGAGAAGACATCTTACACATTTCTCTGTTCTCCTCCTGGTCTAAATCATCATATATTATACATGTCTCATTAGGCAATTAGTACATTATGATTATGGCTTCTCTTTGTGTTGTCTTCCATTCATTGTTCCAGTTCATCCGCAGCTTTCATGTTTTTATCAAGCTTTTTAAAATTCTGCAATGGAGTTTTCAAGCCTTCCAAATGCGGGTAGACTGTAATTCTTTTACCTAACAGCTTTTATTTCTTTTTTAGATGTATTCTTTTGGTCTTTCATTTGTTTCTGGCAAAGGGGCTGTTAGTTTCATCAACAAGAAAAGAATTAATGGTGTGAATGTTGGGAATTGTAGATTGACTTTTTGGCCAGTTTTGCTCATCTGTCTCCATTTTCAAAATAGATGTTAGCTTATTGCTGAAATATTAATTTAAACATTTTTGGGCATGCCTCCTCAGTTATAATGATCCTGCTTAATAATAATAGTAACAATAATAGTAATATCTTGCATTTGTACAGCAGTTTCCAGCCTAAATGGGGCCCTATACATAAGCAGGACCAATTAATTGAGCCTGCTGGAGCATGGTAATTACTGTGCTCCAGCAGACTCCAGTGTCTTGTATATCAGCGTTCCTGTACTTAAAAATGGTGGTAGCCCTGTTGCTATTTTTAAGTATGGGGATGCTGGTACATGAGATGCTCTGAGCGCTTTAATTAGAGTGGCTCTTGGAGCTGCTCCAGTTAAATTCTACACGCTGCCCCCCACTCCCAGAGCACATGTATAAATATCCAATGATTCCAACATGCTTGTGAGGAATGTAAGAACTAACTATATTATTTTTATGATTCTTTATAGTCCATGGTGCTAAAGATTAGATGACCCATTGTATGGAGCCCTGAACATTATGTTCAGCCTGTGTTCTTCCCAGATGTCCAAGAACCCAGCAGTTTTTTTAATTCAATTGTCTAGATGTCAGATAGAGAATCCATTGGGAAGCTACAGCTGATCCTAAATAATTGCATTTTTATATTGGCTCCTGTAAGTAGCTTGGCATGCCTGCTCCCGTGCAAGTTGGCTTTGCTCTCTTGGAAGCTCTTTAACCAGTCCTCTATACAAAAACACAGTCTTTGGACTAAAGAAACAAACAAAAGAGCAAACAAAACTCCAGGCCCTTCTCTGGGTAATAGCAAAGCATCTATAGCTCTGGCCTTGTACCACCATGCAGCTGAGTTTTTACAACAGGGCCGTCCATTCCCTCTTAAAGGGCTAGACCTGGCTGTTACCATTCCAGTATGTGGGAGAGGATCTTAGAACAGGGGCAAAACCCAGTCAGTTATACTGTTTTAAGAATTCAGGTGTGGGGCTGCAAGGTGGTGATCCAGCGTCTAAACTGGGGTTTCCCCCTAGCAGTTGAAATGCCAGAGGAGAGAGCAGAGACTAGTGAGCTGGAAGAAGAACAAGTTGTGTTCAGGAGGCAGATTGTACAGTTCCAGCTGAGAGAAGTGCATATGTGAGTTTTCAGCTTGGAAAGGGTGCCTATGGGAGGCACTGAGAGTGGAGTCAAAGTACAGTTGACCCCTAGAATTAAATCAGTAGTTTAACAGTGGTTATATTATTATTAACAGTGGTCTAAATCTCATGCTATCGAATTGTAGGCATCATTGTCTACTGGACTGATTTTAGCAAACTAAAGTAAGGGGTAGGGAGCCTGCAGTCCTAAGGTCTTTCTTTTTTTCTAGTTGTAACAACTTAAAAATGATAACCCCTGCCTCCTGACACACACACACCTGGGAAAATCCTGTTACTGCAGAACCCATACATGCTTAACTCTGCCTTGCAGTGATACTATGAAGCAAACATAAGTGAGACAATTTACTACTGTGGTCACAGATTAATTTAAATTGCTTTTAAAAGGGGTACTCTATTTTTCTGTAGTTTAAGTGTCTTCACTCTGCATTTCTTATCATAGCATATTTGGATATCCTTCAAGTGTAACTATGCCCCTGAATGTCCTGGGTTTATACCGCTTGGCTTTAGAATATCAAGAATACTACTACATAAATTAAACGGGATGCAGAAATTTACAGGTGTAAATGTAGAGTCTCAGCAACTCAAGTCGAGTTAACTTTTAGCTCCGTGTGATGTCTTGCTGGGATACAGGTGGGCGGGAAGATGGAAACAGGCTCTTAAGGCTTGGATGGGATATGTTTTTCCAACCTTGCTAGAATGGCAGCAACAGAAGTGAACTCTTTGATGGACTCCTTATCAAGGAGTCCACTAGAATATCAAGAATACTTAAACTTACCAGTAGTTTAACTGCTGTAAGCTGAAGAAGCATATTCTATTTTTTTCCTATATAGTAGGGAGGTAGAATCGCTGCTTTGAAGTATAAGATGAAACTCCACCTTAAACATGGAATCAGTTCCTCCACCAGAGGTACGGTAAAATGTTGAATACTGAATTCTAAATGTCATACCAGTTCTATTCAATTCTGTGTATGGTTTCTTGCTTAAATTGATCTAAATTTTCATTGCTTTTGGACAAGGACCAGCACACTTCACCTTTACACACACTGTTTAGTCCCAAGACATTTACATTGTTTTGCACTTCCATATAGAAAACATACTTCCTTTTAAATGAAGGTCTATTTTCTGTTCTGTATAAATCTCTGGCTATTGATCATCTCATAAAGGTTTCTATTCTATTAAATACAAGCATGACAGTCTACCACCTGAACAATCCATTATTTTGCAACACCAGGCTTTGCTCCAGGGATTAATTTATTGAACTTTAAAGCAGAATGTCATCAACAATCCATTTCATTTTAGCTGTATAACACCCTTCCACCAATCACTTGGTGAAGCTGTCCTACTTTACTCATTCCGTCCTACTCAATGAACTGTAAGTACACTTTTTGACTAATGATTAGGGTGCTGGAGGCCATATATAATTCAGGGGTTGCTTCAGATGCATCAACCAATAGTCCTGATATGTTAATCTTCTCCCAGGGAGTTTTCATTTGCTGTCTAAGGTAAATCCATATTTGTGAGTTTCAACATTTTTTTTTTTATTAAAGTAGATAACATAAAATAACAGAGCTGGTACCAATGTCACCTCAGACCTTCAGCTGTTTACTATGAAAGCTATTTAATATGGCTCCTCAGTGTAAAAGAAGAGAATGAATGTTAGCATACTGTTTTAAAGCACAAAGGAATACTCTGGTAAACTTTTCTTCATTCTACGTGCCTGCCTCCAAGAAGCTAGCTGCCTAGTTACCAGAAATACAAACCATCTTGAAAAAAGAAGATTCTCTCACAGTAGGGGGAATTCAGTCCATTTCACATGGTACAGCTGCAGAAAGCACAATATATTTTCAGTAAATTTAATTTAATCTATAACTTCTATTCAGTCTGCCAAATGAAAAACCTTCTGATGCCTTATGCACATACGAAAAGGGAAGAATGAAAAATCTATCTTACAAAGAATTTAGGTCAATCAATTTTTACAGTCTTTCCATAAGCTAGCCAAGAGATTAGTCACTAATGAAAACAGTAAACAGATTGCCTCTTTATTAAAATAAATTGAAAACCTCATATATTGGTTAAATTAAGTCTAGCTGTTGATATTCAATGGTCAGTGCAGAGTTGTACAAAGTGCCTGGGGTTGGTGTGGGGTGAGGAGTATATTCATTGGAAGCAGAGCCAGAAAACATACCTTCTGCCTCTAAGACTGTGGTCCTAAAACTCATTTGGCACAGCTGGACCCTACTAAAAAGCAGAGCCCTTCCAACTTCACTTGGGTTGCATATGAATTCAGGGGTCTGCAAATGAAGAAGAAGGTGTAAGATTAAGGTCCCAATCTCTGGCACTCAGCACACCCCTCTCATTCCCTCAGCACCTTTCCCTAGGGCACAAAAATTGCTAGTTACACCTCTGTAGGCTATATACACTCATTAGCCTGATGGTGAAACTGGTGCTCTGGCTTGCATAGCTCAGAAGGCCCCAAGAGGAATTTTGGATGTGTCTATTGCAGTTCTCAAGGACATTGGGACTTTCAGTGATGAGGGTAAGATTGTAAGGCCCAGAGGTGAAGCTGAGCCATGAGGCAACCTGACAGTTTTCAGGCCCATCTCTTTTCTGCAAAATACATTGCCCATAATTAGATTAAATAAAAAGAAGACCCCAAAAGGTAAACAAATCACATACCTTCCTCTTTCTGAAACCATTGAGTCAAGTTATTAATAGATTTGTGAGAAGCCTTTTGCTTGAATTCATGTAATCTTGTTATGTGTTTATATACCATTTAAAATATTGTATAAATACTAGACTGGCTGGGAAATTATTTTTCCCTTTGAACATTTTTTGGGGGAAAAAAATTTTGTTTGTAGACATTTTTAAAGGCATTGTCTATATTTAATGCAAAAAGCTTTAAGAAATCACAAAAACAGATGTTTGTCACAGAAAAAAATCTGCTTTGTTGAAAAATCCATTGAAAAAAATTTTGAAGGGCGTTTTTGGATAGGCAGTAATAAAAACCTAAGTTAGTGTCCGGTCCAAATTTTAGATGTATGCTGGTAACACAAGAGTTAAGTTTGATCATGTGCAGACAAGCAGACAAGTCCTATGGAAAATTCCACAGCATGCTCAGCATGTGCCCCCTGGATGACCTGAAGGCTTGTCAATCAGACCTGACCTACTTTTCCATCATGCGCATGCTCAGTTTCACACAGAACATGAAGTAATCTGATCAGACGCATGCTCAGTCCACTGACTGCATGAAGTAATTGGACTAGAAACTTCCACAAGGAAAGCCCTATGATTGGCCACTAAAGTCATACAAAAGGCTTGTGAGCCCCCGCCTCAGGAGGAGAGACCGGAGAGACGGGGGGAGACCTTGACTCGACTGGCGAACAGAGGCTGCCTTGGCAGGGACTGTCTCGCTAGGAGAGATCCGACCTGAGAGCAGAGGCTGTTCCAACAGGGACTGCTCCTCAGGAGGGCTTTCTGGCCCATTGGTCTCCTCCTCGCTGCAGTTTTACAGATTGATTTTGCACTGATTTACGTATACCGACCTTCTGGCTACCGACTCGACTTCTGTCTTCAGCCTTGAACTACGATCCTGATTCTCAACCTCCGGCTACGACATCACCATCTCGTCTCAGCATCACCGACCTCGGCACCGTCTTTGACCACCGACCACCTGTTCATCCACATTGGACTGGCGTCACGACATTCTATGTGCTACAGTTCTGTTGTTCGTATCCCGATTGATGAGCTGTTGACCAGCCCTGAGACTATCGAGTTGGGCAGCTGCACCTAGCTCTGGCTAGAAAGCAAGGGCTCACTCGAGACCCCTGTGGGCCAACGTACCCCTTTGTTGTTTGTTTTCGGTAACACTGTAACTGAAAAAGCAAGATTTCTGCCTACGCTCCAAAAGCGTAAGTAAATAAATCAACTTTATTTGAAACTGCCCGTGTCCTGTACCGCTCAGACTCCTTGCCGCCTATCCCGCCTGTTCTGTACCGAAACCCTCGGCCCACCATGACCTTGGGGCCGCTGTTCCCCAACAGTTAGTTTAGTTATGTCCCCAGATCTTTGTTCCTTTATGTATCTGTGATCTTGTTTCCTTTTCTTACTTTCACCCATGTCCTAAGTCAGGGCTGTCTAACTGGTTGATTATATGCTACATGCGGCCTATGAAGGATTAAATTGTAGTCCTCAGGCTCCCACCTGGCCAACATTTTCCCCATTGTTCCAGGTACAGAGGCATCTGGGAGGTTCCAGGTTTCCTCTCTTTCAGCTTCCCCTTTCCTGGCCAAGGTGGTGGGGCAGACAGCCCACAGTGTTGGGGGAGCTTGCAGCCAGGGATCCTTGAGAAGCACTATACTGCAGGGGAGCCTTCATCCAGGGAGCTTAGGGTAAGGCAGAGCATGTGGTGCAATGGGGTGGGAGGTTTTTGGGCACACAGTACAGTGGGGGATGCCCAGTGCAGCAGGGGATCATGCAGTGCAATGGGCAGGGAAGTGCCAGGTGTGCAATGTAATGTAGCAGGGGAGCATGCCACATGCAGCCATTGGTGCTCATGGCTCCACCACTTAGAAGATGGACAGCCCTCTCTTGGATTTTAAAAAAGCCTTTGACTTGGTCTCCCATGATGTGCTCATGGTAAAACAGGGGAACTGCAGCCTTGATAACCCAATGGTCTGTGTCAATGAAAAT